ACACTGTGTCTGTTCAGTTAACTTTAATCACTGTACGGATGGAGAATCCATTTACTTTAACATGATCCTTGTGGTCAGAAATTACATTTATTGACTTGATTTACAACTTGTGAAATAGGTCAAATCTGTCCTGGTTGTTGTCTTTTGTGAAAGAACTGATACTGAAAGATTAATCTGTCAATACAGCATAAAAACTGTCCCAGCTCATTAATAATGACTCCAGCAAATCAAAAACATTCATTAACACAGTTTTAATTAACATCAAAACTTCAATGCAAATTTCTGCTTTGTTTTCTAAAATGTTTTTTCTGCTGTAATGAATCAAAAGACTTGAGATATTTTACACTATATGAGCCATTTGATCAACAATGTGCAGCAGTAAAAGTCTCCTTATGGGTAAATATCAGAATCAGCTCAGAGACACATTCATCATATCTGTGTCATTTATACTTTATATATAAGAGTGAATAAAACAAACACTGGTTCCTTCTACGTTACACTTTCTAATGATATGTTCTTTTAGTCGACATGTTTTTAATCAGTCGAAACTCACAGCACCAGTTTAAAACTCCACTGCAGCCCTTCAAGTTTTAGTTCCACATGTTTAAACTCGTAAAAACTGTTCTTAAATGTTTTCATTTACATTTCATATGAGTTGTTTTGACGTTGTTTGGATCACGGGACAACCAACCAGACTCCGCCTCCTCAAAGCTAGAAAATAAAATAAAGTGCGTCATACTTAAACCTTGAAAGTTGAGCGGACAGATACACATAGAGCACGAGATGAAACAGTTTATGTATTTCCTCTTTCTGATGGGATTCTTTCAGAAAGGTAAGAAAATATGATAATATTATGTTAATGATGCATATTCTTATGCAATTTCGCTTTCCTTAAAGCACAGCCAGCTGACTTGTCCTCCTTTAGTTTGCTGTAAATACGTCCCGTGTAGTACTGTCGCATTTTTTTGAGCCACTTTAACAGTTTACAGTGTAGATCAATGGACATTTTGATACTAACGGGGTCAGTACTGTTATGTCCCGTTAGGTATAAAGGTAATATTACGATTGGTGCAGATAACAGTGGGAGAAGGAGAACCTGCGCACATATCTCATTCTTCTTTATTCGAGTCACAATATCAAAAGTCAGATAACAACAACATAACAATGTCATATCTAACTGCAAACAGCACCTGTCTTCAGACCTATTTTAAACTTTAAACAGAAGCTTTGGTGCCGAAACCAGACGGAAATACAGCAATGCGTCAAAACGAACATGTGTCAGTGGGTTCCCATAATAGGCAGAATAGGTACCCAGGTGATAAAAAATACATTCAGTATAAGTTCTCGTCCTTTAATGCAGTGTTCAATACTGTACCTGTAACAATAGAATAAAACTATGTTAATTAAAAATAAATACCTACAGGTGTAATTATCTTTAATTTCCCAGATTTCGTTTTTTTCTTATTTCTAAAGAACATCTTGTTTCTTCGTAACCTGCTTTCTGTACTGTACTGGTTTACTGTATATACACAGGACGAGCTACTGTAGCCTGAAAGTGCTGAAAAATTTAATGGCTGGTTCTGATAGGGAATTATATACCACACACCCCTCCAGCTGAAAAACATCTCTGTTGCGTTCATCTCCTGCAGGTCTAGCAGCTCTGGTACAGACACAGCAGAACTGTGATGGCAGCAGTTGGGAGAAAGGGCTTATTTAAACTGTCAGCTGATGCAAAATAAAATGTTGTTCAAGTCACATGGCAGAAAAGTTTCACCTGGACGGAGGAAAATGTTTGCTACCTTCCTCCAAACCCTTTGGTCCAAGAGTGATCCCTGACTTTATTGATCAAAGTGGAGTTTAAAAGATGCTGGGACTGCAG